AAGGTTCACGAACGAAACAAATAGAGGATCACGGATATAAAAATTTCGTTTTCCTGAATCACGAAAATATCCAAGTAAGATTCTCTTTTTAATAACCCGTTCTTACACTATTAAAAGAGTGTTTTAAGAAAGAGAAATCGTGAAAGGCTAATAAGTCAAGGCTCCATATTGCAAATCGCATGTCTTAAGTCACTCTCGACAGACGACTCTAACCATTCGGAGGATCCGCGTCTCAAAATCACGTAGAATTCAGCAGTGAAATCACGAATATCGGTGAATAATTCAAGTTCTTTACGGGTCACGCAAAATCTTCAAGTCACGGATCACGAAGAATAATTTCCTAAATTCACGTTTCACGGAAAATAAAATCAGCTCATGATCACGCATCACGCGAATAACCCTGTACGACCCTCCAAAAAGACTGAAACGTGCGGACTCCGTTAGGGTTCTTTTCATTTTCGCTTGAGTTCGACCGGAAATGGCTTTCTTTTGTTTTTTCCCACGGTGAAATAGAACCCATCAATCATTCGGTGTTGTTAACACTTAATTGGCTTTCTTGTTAGACAGTGCTAGCCCAGATAACTTCGCACAGCATAAAAATAACACTTTTCGACGTCAGAATGGCAGAGGAAACTCTCCAAGTAAAAAGTAGAAAACCGGCAATTTTTCAGCTAAAAGAAGGCGGCGAGTTTTACATGATAGGAAGCGAAGTTGGCCACCAAATGGGTTTGATGAAAGGAGCTTTGTACAAGAAATTTCCTTCGCTCTGGCGCCGCCCTCCGACGATCGAGGAACGAAAAATTTTGCTGTCTTTGAACGTCGGCTACAACAGTATGTCGAACTCAAACATCATGCTTGTAAAGGCAGCTGAGGTTGAAAAGGTCACCTTGGGTGTTGGAGAGAAATACATGGAAAAACAACCAACCTCACCAACTGAGCGAGGGCTGAAGGAGTTTGCTCAGCGCATTAGGCGACCAAATTTTGCTGGGCCATTACATTTTCCAGCGAATTGTTCGCGGGAAGTGCTCAATTCTTCCGTTCAACATTTGAACGCGGTTTCATATCAAACAAAGACCAGCACCAAGTTTTGCAGCAGGTTTAGTTGGAAAGCTCGTGAGGAACTAAGGAAAAAGATCTTACCAAGTCCAAGGTAAGCTAACCGTTGAAGTTATCTTAACTTTCGAGAAAACTTACTTGGTGAAGAGACGATTGCATATGAAATTACAG